TCTTATTCGTCAATTTCGCCCTCTTCTTTGAATGCGCCCCCTGGTCCGCGCACGCGCCTCGGGGCGCGAGTTGCGACCCCCTTTTTTGGGCGCCCTTTCGGGGGACTCTTGGAGACAGTGTTTGGGGTCTCTTTGGGGCTCTCGGGTGCTTCTCCGGGGCCTCTTTCGGGCCTCATTGGGACCTCCTGGGACTTCTTGAGGGCAGGTTGGGGGCCTGCTGGCAGTCTCGGGGGTCATCCCGGGGCGGAGCAGTTGACATGTTAGTCCGTGCTCCCCCTTTTGGGTCCCTCTTGGGCCGCCTTGGGCGCCCTTGGACTGTCTTGGGGCTCTCTTGGGCTGTCCTGGGGTCCTTTTGGGTCGTCTTGTGGCGATTTGAGGGCAAGTACTATTGCGCCGTCCTGGAGCGCCGGAAGCACGAAACGGCGAGAACGCTAACACCTTTCAATTTCCTCTGGCAAATCAATGTGTTTGCCTCTTGGGGCCCTATTCGGGGTCCTCCTGAACCTCTCTTGGACCTCTCTTGATGCGTGTGGGGCCGTTTTGGGCCGTCTTGGGGCACTCCTGGGGCCATTTTGGGACTTCTTCTTAGCCGCAAGAAACGTCGCACTACAAGCCCCAAAGGGCACACGGGGACACGCTGCACACTCCAGGAAATTTGGCGATTGGAGGTCCGGGCCTTGAGTACTCAATCGAAGACGCCTTCCGCGAATTAGCGCCGCCTTTTTTTTTTTTTTTTTTTTTTTTTTTTTTTTTTTTTTTTTTTTTTTTTTTTTCTGGAAACGCCTACGTATGTGGCCGAACGTTGAGTTCGGTCAAGCTATCAGACTATTCTTTCCCCCGACCAGTGTGGAAATCCTTCAGGGAACACGTGGGGGAGAAAGAAGAGGAGGCGAGGGACAACTCAGGAAGAGGAGGAGGAGGAGGAGGAGGAGGAGGAGGAGGAGGAGGAGGAGGCCCATGGGGAACCTCTTGGGGCTCCTTGGAGCTTCCTGGGCTCCTGTATGCCTCTTAGGGGGCTTCTTGAGGCCTCTTGGAGGCCTTTGGCGGCTCATCGGGAGGCTTTCTGGTCGTCTGAGGGCTTTCCTGACCCGTCTGACGCCATACTGGGGGTCTCTATGGGACGACGTGGGGCCCTCTTGGGGTGCTTTAGTGCCGTCTTGGGGGTCATTTTGGACATGTTCCAGGTCAGCTGGGCCGTCTTGGGACCCTCTTGGGGCCGTCGTGGAGGATTCTTGTGCCGCCAGGGGGCCATCCCGGACGCCTTCTGGGCGCTCTTGGGCTTATCTTAGGAGGCCTATTGGGCCATGTTGAGGCCGTCTTGCGGGCATCTTGGCCCGCCTTTTGTGGGAGTTTAGCAACGTAGCCAACGCTTCCTACACATCTGGCACGCCGTGCACCCCTGTGGCAAACCAGAGGGGGCGGCGGATGAATCATTGGCCTGCCGCCCACCCGCCGCCGCGCCTCGATCGTGAGTCAGAAGGGGGGTCTCTTTTGGGCCCCTTGGGGCCTCTTCGGGGCCTCTTCGGGGCCTCTTCGGGGCCTCTTCGGGGCCTCTTGGGGCCTTTGGGGGCCTCTTCAAGGGGTCTCTTGGAGGCGCCTCGGAGACTTCTGGGGGGCCCCTTGGGGTCTTCTGGGTGACTCATGGGGCCTCTTGGACCCCTCTTTGCGGTTTCAGGGGCCATCCTGTCCCCAGAGGGCTCGAGAGTTCGCTCGGTTCCCTCCAGGGGACAGTTTTTTGGTTGAGAATGTTTCGGGCGCCGTTCTGCATCCCTGCGAGACGCCCGAAGATGTCTGCGGGAAGCCCCGCGAGCACCTGGGAACGCCCAGAACTCGGGGCTGTGGGTCCCAAGAAGAGAACTCATCCGTGAATTCACCCTGCGGGACTAAGGACTCAATCTTGAAAGGACCCGAGGACAATCTTGAAAGGGCGACCAGTCCTTGAGAGGGAGCCGCCGCTGGGCGCACCGAGTAGGAGGTGGTTCAAGACGCCTGGGGTTTGACGGCCGCTCTGGACGCCCGCGTGGGCTCCACCGAGAACCGCAAGAAGAGGCACCGCTGGCATGACGACGGCACCGCCGAGCACCTCGGGATTCGGGCGGCGCCCGCCGCGGCGGACCCGCCGCTCCCCCAGCCGCAGGAGGTCGCGGGCTCGCTGCGGACCCGTCCAGGCGGCATCGAGGTGCGCCAGAGGCTCGGCGTCATCTGCGTCGCGAGCACGTGCCGGTGGGCGGCCCCGCTCATCGAGGTGCCGCCGGCCTCCCTGGTGGCGAGCATGTTCAGCGCCACCGCCAACGCGCCGTGTTCGTGGTGGTGCCAGCGCCACTTGTGGGCTGAGGGTGGCCGCGCATTCTCAGCACAGCACAGCCATCCAGGCTCTGCGAGCGGCCGTGGACCTGCCAGACTTGCCCCTCCTGCGCGCTGCTGTCGCAGTGCACGCCAGAGTGCTGAGGCTTGTCCCAGTCTGGGGCGCTGGCGGCCGCGGGGTTTGGTTGCGTTAGGCTCACGATCTCGACGGACGGACGGCGGCAGCGGCCAGGGCGGCCACGCTGGCCAACATGCCCTTCGACGCCAGCAGCGATCTCGGCCAGCGCGTCCTGCAAGTCTGCGCAAGGGCCGCGCTGCTGCAGCCGGTGGCGCCGCGCCGGCGCCGGTGGGGAGAGGAGTCCATCGAGGCGGCGGACATCGAGGCGTCGCTCGCGCCCGAGTGGGCGGAATAGCGTGGCAGCCTCAGCAGGCGGCGCCGCGCCCTGCTGTCGATATGGCGGGGTGGAGCTGTGTTGACCTGCGCGCGCCAGTGGTGCCCCTGGTGCCCGCGCGCGCAGGCGTCGGCTCGCCACTGGTGGGCCGAGTGCGCTCGCTTCGCCTGCGAGCGCGCGAGGCTCGGGGTTTGCGTTCAGAATCGCTCCGGAGTGGCGGGCCCGCCAGCCGCGGGTCGCCGCAAAGACTGGCAGGGCCGCGCTCTGCGCTGGCCCGAGCCCCCCCGCGGCGAGCGCAGATGCAGATCGCAGCCGCCCCCTTCGGTACTGCGGCGTGCGAGGCCGCGGCCGAGCAGCGCGACGATTCGCGGGGCGCCCCGCCCCCAGACAGACCCCCAGATGCAGGCTGCCGGGCGGCGCCCGGCCCGTGCCAACACGGCGCGCGGCTCCACGGCCGCGATCTTTTTGTTCCTGAAGCGCTACGGTGCCTCTACCCTCGTGCACATTAAAGCGTGTGCTGCTGTACGGGGACGTCGTTTGTCCCACATCGGTGCGAGGCTTTCTGGTCGCGTCTATTACACACCAGTCCAATCCAATGTTGATGATACATGGGACCACAGGGGCGCCGACCTCTTTGCACGCAGCGACACTCCAACTCGTGCGGCCGATATTCTGTTAAACATACATATGTTTCTTTCGATGTTTTCTCGGTGTTATAGCTGTCCTGAAGGGAATATAGGCTTTCTTTATGGTGTCTTGGAAATTTCTTCGGCACCGTTGACCCTTCTTGGTGTCTTCTTTTGGGCTATCGCATGCGTCCTGGGGCCATGCTCACGATGGCGGCCATGGTTGCCTTCTTCGGTCGTCTTGGAAGCTTTTGGGATCCTCGGAGAGCGCCGGGGAGGCGTTGGGCCACGCATGGAGTTTCGGGCATGAGAGTGATGCCTGCAGCGAGACGTGGCCCGCAGGGGTGGGCCGGGGGCGTGAGGAAACCCACAGAAGCTTCGACATCGTGCCAAGGGGGCACGGTGTAAGATTGTTGCTTTGACGCGCGCGTCGGCGATGGAGTGCAAGGCGGTCGGTGCTGGCGGCGAGGGCCAGGGACAGCCATTTCCGAGGGGGGGAGGAGGAGGTGGGATAGAGCAGAAGGGAGAGGGGATGGGGAACGCAGAGAGGTGTGGTGGTGGAGGAAGGGACACGCGTGCGCAAGGAGGTGGAGGAGGAGGAGCAGCAGGAGGAGGGAAAGGAGTAGGAAGAGCAGGAGGAGGAGGATGAGGAGGAAGAGGAGGAGGAGGAGGAAGAGGAGGAGGAGGAGGAGGAGGAACAGGGAGACGGAAGGAAAGGAATGGGGGAGGACAGAGTGGAGTGGCCCGGGCGCCACGCCAATGTTATCCTGGAAGAACTTATTTCCTCGCTGCCTTTGCTGCCTGCTGGTGTCGAGTTAGAGCCCTCGGCTAGACTCCCTGGCCACCTCTCCGCCGATGTTCTCTCCGAGTGGCAGACGCTTGGCGTGTACAAGGCTCTTTCTAATCAGGATTGAACATCTCACTGCTCCCATATCTGCAACCAGTGCAGAGCCATACGCTGAGGGAGTTCTGATACTCAAGCAAATGAGATCCGCGCACCCTCCCCCAATAAACGTGCAAGTGCCGTTCCCTGGGACAATGGAACAGACGAACATCTCCAGAAACGAGTTGGAAGCAGGGTGATTCCTGCTGCAATGAGGGTGGCAGCAGTGGCGGACCCCCTGCAGACCAAACAGTTGTTGCCATTCTCGCCCACCTCATTGGCGGGAGTGAACACCGAGACGCAGGGAGGTGTAGGATGGGGGGAGGGGATGCTAGGGAAGAGGAGGCGGCCACGCCTGTGATGGACTCGCAGTCGGGGATCGGGGTTCGGCAGCAGCCTGATTCAAGGCCTCCAGACTGGCGCGGAGCAGGCGGCGTCGGACGAGCAAAGCTTCCTGTTCCACCTGCCGCGTAGGGGGATCGATCTGAGAGAGGGATCCTGGCCCGCAAGGCCGCTGCACCTGCCCACTCGTCGGCGCGGGCATGTACGAGGATGAAAACTCAGGCACGCAGGAAGGAGGAAGGAGGAGGGAGGAGCGAGGAGGAGGGATAAGGGAGGAGGCGGAGGAGGAGGAGGAGCAGGAGGAGGAGGAGGCGGGAGATGGAAGGAGGGAGGAGGGAGCCGCAGCAGCAGAAGGAGCCGCAGCAGGAGGAGGAGGAGGAGGAGGAGGAGGAGATGGGCCGGTGGCCGCCCCGCAGCCGCGCTACTCTTTCGTCGCGCCCCCCCGGCCCCGAGGACTACGCCACGGCCGGCCGGCTGCAGGCGGACCTCTCCTCGAACGACTGGGAGGCCAACAGAGGATGGGCTTTCGGCCCGCCCACCGGCTCCCCCTCTTCCAGGCGTGGCCCTTACCACTCGGTCGGCTGCACCAGTGAGCCTCTCATGGAAGCTCGGTTGCCGTTGGGCTTCATGTGCGCGTGTTCCTTTCGCGATTCACCTACGGCCTCAGGGCTGGTCTCCTGGTCTCCCCCGCCTCCCTTGTGCCTCCTCCATCCCTCGCTTCTATATCTCTCGTCCCTCCATTCTTGCTCTCTTGATCCATTGCATTCTTGCTCTCACATTCCTCCTCCCTCCGCCTTCCCCATTGCTCCTCCGCCCCACCCCTCCCTCTCTGTTCCCCTCTCCCTCCTGCTCCCTTCCCCATCCCCGAGCGCTCCCGCTGCTCCTCTTCTCCTCCTGCCCCCCCCCGTCCCACGCAACATAATTGGCCTCGGGCAGCTCAGCTCACGCGGCGGTTCGGAGTGCTTCTATAGTTGCTGTGCGGGCGGGATGCCGATGATTTCTGTTGATCAAAACATTCCGTGTGAGCGTGTCAAGGCAGCGTATGGTCAGCGTGTTCACGTGAATGTGGTGCATGCCCGCGTTGCGCTTCCAGACTGGGCAAACAAGCGGCTTTCAGAATGGATCACTGGGTTGAAGAGGCTGGTTCCCCAGCGCTAGTGGTTAGATGCCTTGCTGACCTAGGCCCCTCGCTGTCTTGGCACTTGGGAACCTCAGGTGCTTGGCACAAGACTGCAAGTTGGGGAGCGACGAGCGCATGCACCTACCCCACCCCTCCCTCCCATCTCTTCCCCAGACCCCCTTCCCTCTACTCTGCACCCCCTCTCGCATTCGATTACTTTCACCTTCTCCAAAGGGGGAGCAGTGTTGCGAAGGCAAGTCTTGCTTCACTCTTCGCGGTCTCGTCCGGAGAGTTGCCCGTCCCTAGTGAGGCTGCCTGTGCTCCTCTGCCTACATCCTGGCCACGTTGGGGATCAAGCTCATCTGAGACAACCCACGGATACAGCATAATTCAGCGCAGCGGAACGGGATGGGCGGGATGTGTCGGATGTCAGATATGGCCCGAACGCATCTGAATATCTTGTCATTTAACGTCTCTCCCTTAACCATCCTGCTCCTGCTTCTGCGTTTCCTGATCCTTCCTTTTCCTTCTACTCCTCCCACTCATGAACCGTTTTCCTCCTTCTCCTTTTCCTGATCCTCTTTCTCCTACTCGTCCTGTTCCCCTTTCTCCTCCTGCTGCTCCTTCTCGTCATCTCCCTGCTCTGCATGCTCCCAGAGCTCATCTGATCCTGCTCATCGTCCCTACCCGTCCTGCACCTCCTCCTCGTCCTCCTCCTCCTCCTCCTCCTCCTGCTCCTCCTCCCCCTGGTCGTCGTCCTGCTCCTCCTCATCCTCTTCCCCTCTTCTCCTCCCCCCATCCCCTCCCTGCCTCCCTCCTCCTCCCTTTCGCTCCCTTCCTCTCTCCCTCCCCCCGCACGGACGCTCGTCGGTGCTCAGGGGCACCGACGGGTGGGGCAGGCCCCGGGTCCCAGAGGGGGGACCCGTGCCCCCCCAAGACCCCGCGCAGGAACGTGCGGCTTCGCTATCGGGGGCCTACCGCTGGGGCAGGAGGAGGAGGAGGAGGAGGAGGAGGAGGAGGAGGAGGAGGAGGAGGAGGAGGAAGAGGAGGAGGAGGAGGAGGAGGAGGGAGGAGGAGAAGGAGGAGGGAGGAGGAGAAGGACGGGGGAGGAGGAGGAGGATGAAGAGGAGGAGGACGGGGGAGGAGTAGCAGGAGGAGGAGGAGGAGGAGGAGGAGGAGGAGGAGGAGGAGGAGGAGGAGGAAGACATGTGTAAAACCAAGAATCGTCAACGATGTTGGAATTATCCCTCCCTCTAAGCTCCCTCTTCACATGCCCCCACAACGGTTCCTTTCCACTGAGGGAGTTGCCTCGTTGGAAGACAACTGTTTGAAGATCCTGAAGCATGCCAAAACAATGTTCTCTGGATTTCAACGCCACATCAACCTGACTGCTGCGCCTTGACGATCCAGAACCGTGCCAGAGCGCCATGTTTGGGAGTTCAACAGCGCGAATCAGCGTAGCTGTTGCACCCGCATAATCCTGAATCCTTCCGAAACACGAATGCTGGTACGTTGTTCATGGGAATCCGTGAAACCCTGGCAAAGTTTACAAGCGAATGTGCGCGGGGCTAAAGCGAGTGCCACATTTTGAAGACGACCCGCCCTCAATCCGTGAAGCTTTTGCAAATTTTGAAAGCGAATATGCGCGGCGCGAAGGCGAGAGCCACATTTTGAAAATGAACCGCCCTCAATCCGTGAAACTCTTGCAAATGTTTAAAAGGAAAGTGCGCGGCTCTAAGGCGAGAGCCACATTTTGAAAACGACCCGCCCCCAATCTGTGAAACTCTGGCAAATTTTGAAGCGAATGTGCGCGGGGCTAGGCGAGAACCACATTTTGAAAACCACCCGCCCTCCATGTGTAAAACTGTTGCCACTTTTTAAGCTTCAGAGTCATAGATGGTGAGGAAGTCTCAGGCGAAACGCCCGGCCCGCCCTAAAAACTGGCCTCGAGGTGCGACAGGGAGGAGTTATCTATAAGGAGAAGGAATGGAGGAGGAGGCGGAGGAGGAGGAGGAGGAGGAGTCTCCTGCTCCTCCTCCTCCTCCCTCCTCCCTCCTCCCTCTTTTCTCCTCCTCCTTCTTCAGGGGAGGGGGGCGGGAAGAGGTCCAGGCGTGCTCTCGCAGGTCCCCGCGAGTGGTGGTGTACAGGGAGCTTCCCTTAGGCAATGCCCCCCCTGCCGCTCGGGGCGTGTGCTCCTTCCTCTGTCCGGCCGAGGCCCGCGGTGTCCGGGGCGGGGCGGGGCCCGGGCCCGCCCTCCCTCGTGAGGCGGTCCTGGGAGAACCGCTCGAGCGAAGTCGTCATGGCGTCGGCGTGGTCGTCACGACGTCGTCGTCGTCGCCGTCGTCGTCGTCGTCGTCGGAGTCGTCGTCGTCGTCTTCGTCGTCCGTCGTGACGTCGTCATGGCGTTGTCGTCGTCCGTCGAGTTGTCGTCGTCCGTCGTCGCCGTCGTTGCTGTTGTCGTCGTCGTCGTCGTCGTCGTCGTGGTCGTGGTCGTGGTCGTGGTCGAGGTTGTCGTCGTCGTCGTCGTCGTCGTCGTGGTCGTAATCGTCGTTGTCTTCGTCGTCGTCGGTGTCGTTGTCATCGTCGTCGTCGTTCCCATTGGCCCCCACTTCGCAGGTCGGGGGACGTCCGCCCAGGTCGTTCGACGTCATCTGAGCGAAAAAGGGAACCTGGTGCGCCTTCACCGACATTTGGCGCGTAAGTTGCCCGCGACAGGGCACGCGTAAGCGCCCAGGCTTCCAATGTAGCGTGTCTCGTTGGCGGCCCGCGTACGCCACCTACGAGGGTCGCTGTGTCACCTCGCATAAGACTCGTATGTGTTCGTCGCCCATTTCAGCATCGGCGCTGCTACTTCCGTGGTCGACAAACGGCCCGTTTCAGCATCATTCTTTTTTATTTACGTTGATGCCCGCTTGATCTGGCTTACTCCTGTCTTCAATATAAGCTGATCTGGCTGAATGACCGATCCATCGGGCCAAATAGCAGTTGATCGTCGTTACGAAGGCCTCCCAGACGTTGCCTCCTAACGAGGAGGGGAGGGATGCAGGACCGAGGGCTGATTTTTTTCCACCATCATGTGGTACTAGGTCCTCGTTTTGAAGAGAGCGCCCCGCGTCCCTCCTCCTCCCTCTGCCCCCTCCTCCCTCCTCCTATACTCCCCCGCCCTTGCCTCTGCAAACATCGTCGGCATCATCTTCATACTTATCGTCATCATCACCGTCATCATCATCAGCATCATCATGATCATTACCAGTAGTATCATTTTTTCCCATCACAATCATCATAAGCATCATAAGCATCATCATCATTATCATCATCATCATCATCATCATCATCATCATCATCATCATCATCATCATCATCATCATCAACATATTCCGTAGCCATTTTGGCTCAAGCCATTTTGGCTCAAGTTGCCATCTCTCGGGGCAGCTGGCCAGGTCAGCATCCACAGACTCCCGACCAGGGGCCCTTCAGTGGGTGGGAGTCTTTTCTTTCGCGCTCCATTTTGGCAGCGGCATATCCATCTACCGTGCCTGCCGACGCGGTCGGGGGCAGCTTCGCCATGGCGCTCAACACATCTCAGTCGCAGTTTGAGCAGCTGATGGGGAGCATGGGGGGAAATTCAGAGCTCACTGGCCATTCACGACAATGCCCTCAGCACGGACACAACCGAGATCGCTAATATGAAGGCTTCCATGCACATCACCTGCCAGGAGCACCCGTCCAAGTTCGAGGTCCTCACAGCCAACATCTCAGCCATCGCCCAGGGGCAGCCGATTGACGTCGAGGCGATGGGCACCAGCATCCAGTTGAATAGCAGGGTGGAGGCTGTGGAGCAGACGCTTTCTGAACTACGTCAGCAGATGGAGTCTCGCTCGTCGTCAGGAGTTTCTGGTTCAACTCGTACTTCTTCTTCTCCAGCCGTGGCTCCCGCCGCTGCTGCTGGTGAAGATACCAATCTAAAGCGTCGGTGGGTTCAAGGTTTTGGTCGTCTTCTGCTTCGTGGTGAACGTAAAAAGCATTGGGACGCTCTCTGTGCTCGACTTCCACAAGGCCTGCAGGAAGGAGCTGATCCACAATTCGCTGGAACCGCCATGAGCTACTCTGCAGGGTTCACTTCGGATGAATTGGCCCAGAGGCGCACCACCTTCTCCAAAGACAACTCGTCGATCATCGCATACTACGATTAGCGCCGCAAGACGTCGCTGCCGATTCGTGTTCGTGGGGGTACGCCTCGGGACGCTCGTGAAGTCCAACGCCTGTTCTCGCCGCTGTGGGTCGTCACGCTCGACGCGCTGAAGCAGACGGGCAGCTGGTCCGAGGAGTACAAGCTCGGCGCCAACTGCTACCGTAAGGATCTCAACGTCACCTCCGCCGAGGAGATGCGGGTGCTGTTCCGCATGAAGATCGACGCCAAGGTCATCGTTGAGTACGTTCCGAACGTTCCCGACCTCGTTGAATGGGGCATCTCCGAGGATGAAGCCCGCAACCTGATCAAGGCAGCCGAGGAATCCGCTCCTCGGCCCTCATCTTACCTCTGACGGGGTACCGATCCAGTGCAGCAGACCAGAACACCTTCGTCGCCGTCTCCTTCCTCTTCTGATTCTGACCGCGCTTCCTCCTCCTCTTCTGCTTCCTCCTCTGACGACTCTAGCAGCGAATCCAGCTCTCTCGACGCTGCCGGCGCTAGTGCGCGAGCTGGCGCGCTTTCCCAGAGTGCTTTCCTCCCCTCTGCCCCCCCCCCGGCCTGCACTTGGAATGCTCGCGCGCTTTTGGGACACCTTCAGGGATCTAGAAGTTCACAGAGCCTCAAGCTCAGTAGACTAACCTACCTCATCCAAAGACATCAGATTCTATGTTTGCAAGAGACTCATGGACACACGGGCGATGAAGATTTTATGAAGCGTGAAGTTCCTGGCGTTGAGGTCTTCCCCAGCTTCCACCTCTCTGTTGCATCGGGAGGTTCTCTGATTGTTATTCACAAGCGTTTGCTCGAGCTCTTCGATCATGTCGCGCGCGACATCATAGTTGCTGGTCGCATCCATTATGTTCTGCTTTCTGGCGTGCATGGCTCTCTCCAAATCTCTAACACCCACCTCTGCCCGCAAGCCCCCTTCATCGAGAAAAAGAGGCAGCTCTCTCTTCTGGCGTCGCAAATGCCCCCGCCCGACAAGTGCACGGTGCTCCTGCTCGGCGACTTTAGTTTCTATGAAGTCGGAGAAGGCAGATATAAATTCGCAGCTGATCGCGAGCACCATCCTCCCAGCTCTCTTGGCAAGGTCTTTGCGCAGAAGTTGAGCAGCTTCGCTGAGTGCTACCAAACCAACCCCACGCATGCCGTATATGAAGGATCAGAACTCGTCTCAGTGGGTCGTCTTGATCGTGTATGCACCAACGTGCGCACCGCTGACTTTATTGACATGCGTGCCATGGCCAGCTGGCCAGCTCTCAGTGGTCTGTCTTTGACTCGAACCAGCCGAGCGATCTCTGTCCTGCGTATGTGTCGTTTTCGCCGCAGGAGCAGGCCGCTAGGCCGACCATTCCCTCGTGGGTTAGCAGACATCCGCACTTTAACGAGGTTCTTGTGCAACTCATTCAGGAACGTGATCTCTCTGAAGACGTTTTCGAAGGAATTTGGGAACTTAAAGCTTTTATGTTTTAGACAGGTAAGTCTGTGAAAAACAGGTGTTCCCCCCCCCCCCCCCCGAATCGCGGGCTGAAGCCTTGGCGTGGGCGTTCGCGGTGAGCCGCGCCATGAAACGGCGCGATTTGCGGGCCGCCCTTAGTGCCATCCGCGCTGCTCCCGAGCTAGGATCTTTCATCGGCGCAGCGCCGCTGATGTGGCTGGACAAGCCCGCCCCCCACAATTTTTCCGCTGCTCACGGCCGCGCTCTTACGGAAGAGCAACTAGAGGAGGTTCAGAATGATAATCGCGCTTTGGCTTTTACCAGAGCGACCCGTAAACAACGGAGCGCCCGTCGCATGGCCCAATGGGCCACCAGGTCTCGGACATTTTATATGTCAGGCGTTTCTCTTCCAGACGGTTCAGTTGAGCTTGAACCTCGCGCCGCTGCCGCTGCGCTTGCACGTCATTGGGGCGGCGCCCATGGCAGGCATTCTACTTACCCAGCTGACCAAAGAGTGGCTTCTTCAATTCGTTGCCCCCCCCCCCCCCCCCCTTGACTTTGAGTGGAAGATCCCCCGCCCCCTGTTCTTAGGGTACGTCGAACAGCTTACGGACTCCAGCCCTGGCATCGACGGCGCGCCGTTCTCTGCCTGGCAGGCCTGTGGAGAGACAGACCTGCGCTCGCTGTGCAGCCTCTACCTTGCCATCCTTGAGGGCATCGAGGTCCAGGAGGACTTCAACGCTGGTCTGTGTGTTTTCTTGCCCAAAGCTCTAGATGCTGAAGGGCCCTCGGGAGTCGAAAGGCCCCCTGAAACCGCTCGCCCCATTGCCCACAGGAATGCGGACATGCAAATTATGTGTGGCCTCCTCAACCTTAGCCTTGCTAAAACTGCGGGGTCCTTATGTGACGCTCACCAAAGAGGTTTCATTAGAGGGCGCAACCCGTCCGGCAACATCATCAGCATCGGCGGGTTTCTGGCGTTTGAAGAGGTGCTCCACGCGAACACAGAGGTAGGCTGCGCGTTCTTCGATTTCACCGCGGGGTTTCCTTCCCTGGACCATGGCTGGATCTGGAAAGTCTTGCAGCGAATGGGCATCCATGGGACCATTGTTCGAGTGTTTCAGAACCTCTCAAGATCATGTTGGGGGGCATTTTTTTCTGACGGCTTCCCTCTGTTGCGCGGAGTGCGTCAAGGCTGCCCGCTCAGTGGCCCTCTGTTTGCTTTCGCCCTCGACCCTTTCGTGCGAGCCCAGCTGTCCGAGCTCCCGGTAGACGCAGGCGAGCTGGGCGCGTTTGCCGACGACATAGGCACCGCTTGCCGAGATGTCTTTCGCCAGCTGCCTGGCATCATCTCTGGCTTTCAGCGTCTAAGCCGTGCATCTGGTCCCATTATTATCTGTGCTAGAACGGTCATAGTCACGCTACGCTATGACAGAGAATTTGCCCCTCAGAAGTTCTTAGCACGCGGCCTAGACGCTGCGAAGTTTAAGATCGACGACCGTGCAACATACCTTGGGGCAATGATTGGTCGTTACGCTGCTCTTCGCTCTTGGCACGCCCCTTCCTGCAAAGTTGTCGCTCGAGGTCGGGAAGTCGAAGCGGCTGGTCTCTGACTGGTTAGCTCTATTGCCAGGTTCAGCTCAGTGGGGACGTCGGTCCTGCTATATGTCGGACAATTCTTGCCTGTTCGTCGTGATGTTCGCGATGCTTATCGCGAAGCTGGCCAGCTTCTCGCGCGCAGTCCCAGATTTTCTATCCCCCACCTCGCCCTCCTCGAGCTCGAAGACCTCCAGCTGAAACCTAATCTGCGTGACTTGGGGCGCGAGGTCCGTGCGTCTATGTCTCGGAATGCTCTCAACGCTACCGCCCACCACCGCCAAGTTGGGATATTCGACGAACTCTGGGAGGGCGGGGGCTACGTAGTGGCATGCAAGTATCAGCATATGTTCCGCAACTCGGTCTCCTTCTGTTTACGCGAAAACGTTGAGACTCTGTCTACTATCCCTGGTGTCCCTGTAAATTACTGGAACGGTCCCCACTCTCAGAGGTCTGTTTGCAAGCACTTGTTTTAGTTGGACTCCAGACATGTTTGCGAGTCTCTGGTCCCTCGGTTTAAATACCGGAAATTAGAGCTCTCGTGCCGGGAAGTAGATGCTGCGTTGATTCGTTTCGGGTGGGCTGCCAAGCAGCTGGCCCCCTTTATTTTAGCCGCCACTCTGAAAACTTGGGCTATCAGTTGGAACACTGCCGTCCGACACAGGAACCGAGCGACCCGCTGCAGGTTCGGGTGCGACGCCGAAGGAAGCGACGCCATGAAGCATTACCTTCGCTGCCCTCAGATTCTTGCCTGTCTCCGTCCTATTCTGTCCTTGCTCCCCTCTTGGTGGGAGGCCGTTTCTTTTTCTGCTGCCTCTGGTCTTGCCGCGCCGCCAATCGCTTCGTCTGATTCGCTTCTCTCGTTGTATATTGCCACTGATGCGATACATGCCGCTTTTAACTCGCTCCGAGCTCGAGACTTAACTTCGGGAGCCGCTGCCGCTTCGATGGTGCGCGCCAGGGTTAGGGCCCTGTGTCGGGAGTGCGCCCGCGCCCAGCTGCCCGCTGCTTCCTGAAGACGAAGGACTGCCCACGGGGGGGAGTCCGTATCATCATCATCAACATATTATTCATCACCATCGTCATCACCACCATCATCATCTTCACCACCATCATCATCATCACCGTCGTCGTCATCAGCATCATCATCATCAGAAGCATGCTCATTATCATCATAATCGGCATCAGCATCATCATTCTCATCACCAGCGTCATCAACACCACCAGCATCGCCATCATCACCACCAATATCGTTAACATCGTTACCATTACCACCGTTTTTATTATCAACATCATCGCCGCTCTCATCATCACCACCAACACCATCATCACCATCATCGCCATCATCACCATCATCATTATATTCATCGTCGTCGTCGCCGTCGTCGTCGTTGCACCCCTCACGAGGATCGTGGCCCAATAGGGAGATTCACCGAAGGTCCCAGTGCCGCAGTTCACACGTGGTCCCTGCGCCCAGCGTTTCGTGGCACCGTAGGGAGCTCAAGCGAAGGTCCCAGTGGCGGAACTCGCATGGAGTTCCTGCGCTCAGCGCAGCGTTTCGTGGCCCCATAAGGGGGGCTCCACCGAAGGGCCCAGTGGCGCAGTTCGCATGCGGTTCCTGCGCCCGGTGCTGCGTTTCGTGGCCCCATGGGGAGCTCCACCGAAGGGCCCAGTGGCGCAGTTCGCATGCAGTTCCTGCGCCAAGTGCGGCGTTTCGTGGCCCCATACGGAACTCAATTGGCGGTCTCAGTGGCGGAACTCGCGTGCGGTTCCCGTGCCCACTACAACGCTTCATGGCCCCATAGGGAGCTCCACCGAGGGTCTCAAGGATGCAGTTCGCATGCGTTTTCTGCGCCCAGTACAGCGCTTCGTGGCCCCATAGGGAGTTCCACCGAACAGGCAATTCTACCGAAGGTCCCAGCGTTGAGTGGCTCCATGGGGGACTCCACCGAAGGTCCCAGTGGCGCAGTTCGCATGCTGTTTCTGCCCCTAGGACAACGCTTCGTGGGTTCGTGGGGAGCTCCACCGGATGGCCCAGGGGCGCAGTTCGCATGAAGTTCTTGCGCCCAGTGCAGCGCTTCGTGGTCCCAGAGGGGGGTCACCACAGGTCCCAGTGGCGGAGCTCGCATGCGGCTCCTGCGCCCAGTACAGCGCTGAGTGGCCCCATGGGGGACTCCGCCGAGGGTCCCAGTGGCGCAGTTCGCATGCTGTTTCTGCCCCCGGTACAACGTTCCGTGGTCCCATAGGGAACCCCACCGAAGGTCCCAACGGCGGAGCTCGCATGCGGCTCTTGCGCCCAGTGCATCGTTTAGTGGTCCCATACCGGGGTTTCACCGAAGGTCCCAGTGGCGGAACTCGCATTCTGCGCCCAGTACAACGTGTCGTGGCCCCATAAGGAGCCCCATCGAAGGCCCCAACGGCGGAACTCGCATGCGGCTCCTGCGCCCAGTACAGCGTTTAGTTGCCTCATAAGGGGGCATCACCGAAGGTCCCAGCGGCGGAACTCGCATGCGGTTCCCCCGCCAAGTACAGCGATTCGTGGCCCCACAGGACGATGCCCACATGTGCGGTCCTCACAACTGCATATGGTTGGATTCTTCTCTTCGCCAGGTTAATTGAATGTGGTTGGCCCCCTTCAGGCATCGGAGGTCTCTGGGATCCCGAAGGCTTTTGGAGGCCTTTCAAGATGTGCGATGACCTCTCGGAGATGTTTGGAGAGCTGGGCGTGTGAGAAGGAAGTGGAGGTGGAGGAGGAGGACGACTATCATACACCCATGACGCAAGTAGTACACCAACGATGCTGCGGCACACTCCTGTCCCGAGCTGCATTTTCACACGTCCCTGCAAGTCTTGCTTTTCACTACGGGGAGCGTCCGCTTGAAAAACGACCGCCCCAGTGGCCTGCTATTAGAGCAGGGCCCTTGGTTCTGAACGGGAGCCGCCCACCATCATGGACTCATGGGGCGTCAAGATGTCGGAGCACATGGTTTACCGCAGTGTCATAACGCAATGTCAGATGAAAACCTCCGAAGTTGAAGGACCCCGCCCGTCTTCACCGTGCTTGTTGCGCACTATATTGGGGGAGCTAGCCTCCACACGCGCGACCCGCCACAGGTTTGAGAGCGTCTCATGCGAGAGGCTTGTTTGGAAAAGGAACCGCCCGCCATGTGTGCAACTGGCGATGCTTTGGCGGGGCCACAGATGGTGAATAAGACATTTTGTTCATCCATGTTTGGTTGCTGACTTTCCCGGCGGATGTGCGCTTAGCGGGAGAGAGAGGGGGTGGGGGCCACGTTTTGCAAACCAGTTGACCCAGTTAGCTGGTAGCAGTCGTCGTCTTCGTAGTAGTAGACTTAGTAGTAGTAGTAGTAGTAGTAGTAGTAGTAGTAGTAGTAGTAGTAGTAGTAGTAGTAGTAGTAGTAGTAGTAGTAGTCGTAGTAGTCGTAGTAGTCGTAGTAGTCGTAGTAGTAGTAGTAGTAGTAGTAGTAGTAGTAGTAGTAGTAGTAGTAGTAGTAGTAGTAGTAGTAGTAGTAGTAGTAGTAGTAGTAGTAGTAGTAGTAGTAGTAGTAGTAGTAGTAGTAGTAGTAGTCGTAGTAGTAGTAGTAGTAGTAGTAGTAGTAGTAGTAGTAGTAGTCGTAGTAGTAGTAGTAGTAGTAGTAGTAGTAGTCGTAGTCGTAGTAGTAAGTAGTAGTAGTAGTAGTAGTAGTAGTAGTAGTAGTAGTAGTAGTAGTAGTAGTAGTAGTAGTCGTAGTAGTAGTCGTAGTAGCCGTCGTAGTAGTTTTCGTGACCGTGATGGTGGTGGTAGTATTCGTAGTCGTCGTCGTCGTCGCCGTAGTAGCAGCAGCCGTACTAGTCGTAGCAGTAGTCGTAGTAGCAGTAGTAGTAGTAGACGTAGTAGTATTATGAGTATTAGTTGTAGTAATAGCAGTAGTTATAGTAGTAGTAGTAGTAGTAGTAGTAGTCGTAGTAGTAGTAGTAGTAGTAGTAGTAGTAGTAGTAGTAGTAGCAGTAGTAGTAGTAGTAGTAGTAGTAGTAGCAGTAACCGTCGTAGTAGCAGTAGTAGTAGTCGTAGTAGTAGTAGCAGTAGTAGTAGTAGTAGTAGTAGTAGTAGTAGTAGTAGTAGTAGTAGTAGTAGTAGAAGAAGAAGTAGTAGTCGTAGTAGTGGTAGTCGCAGTAGCCGTCGTCGTAGTAGTAGACGTGGCAGCCGTAGTCGCCGCAATAGCAGTATTAGTCGTAGTAGTAGTAAGTAGTAGTAGTAGTAGTAGTAGCAGTAGTAGTAGTCGTAGTAGTAGTAGTAGTACTAGTAGTAGTAGTAGTAGTAGTAGTAGTAGTCAGCAGTAGTAGCAGTAGTAGTAGTAGTAGTAGTAGTAGTAGCAGTAGTAGTAGTAGTAGTAGTAGTAGTAGTAGTAGTAGTAGTAGTAGTAGTAGCAGTAGTAGTAGTAGTAGTAGTAGTAGTAGCAGTAGTAGTAATAGTAATAGTAATAGTAGTGGTAGTAGTAGAAGTAGTAGTAGTAGTAGTAGTAGTCGTCGTAGTAGCAGTAGTAGTAGTACTAGTAGTAGTAATAGTGGTGGTGGTAGTAGTAGTAGTAGTAGTAGTAGTGGTAGCAAACGTAGCAGTCGTAGTCGTAGTTGCATTCGCAGTCGTAGTCCTAGTATCAGTCTTAGTAGTAGTCTTAGTCGTAGTCTTAGTAGTAGTAGTAGTAGTAGTAGTA